GGGGNGGGGGAGGGCCTTCACGAGCGCTTTCCCCCTCCCTTCCCGTCCTGCAGGACTGCATCGCGGGGCTGGCACGGGGGCGGGAGGTGTGGGCCTGTGACATCCTCCACCCGATGGGCCGCGCCGTCGCGCGGACACAGGTGGAGCTATGGGCACAGCAGCTGAACCTTCTTCTCTTTCACATCGCGCTTTGGCAACGGCGGCACCCGCTGGGGGTCCTCTCGTTGGTTCTGGAGCAGTACCGACGTGGTCAGATGGATTCCACCTTCGCCGCCTCGAGCCTGGGGTGTGGGTCGTACGTTAAACAACTCGGTGGGGTCCTCGAGGCCATCACAAACGCGCTCTACCCCGGGTTCTCATCAATTCCAGGTTTGATTCGCTGCGATGTGTTCATGACGTATCCTCACATGCCCGTGCATGAACAGCTGGTTTTCATGAGGGAAGTTACTAATCGCTGCTTTCAAAAGGAATGCAAAACGCGAAACCCACCCGAACCCCCTGCATCCGAATTTAAAAGTAATGATCCAAAAGGGGCAGACGGGGTGCCGCCGAGCGTGCGAGGCAGCAAGGATGCTATCGACGCAGAAGAACTTCTCTACGACTATAACGTAAAAGAGATCATTCCCGATCTCCTCATCACCACCGAGCTCACGGACACCGACTACCAAGCACTTCGTGTGGCCTTAGAGCGACACAAAAAAGATGGTGTTCGGCGACTTGCCACAGAGACTTATACCGTCTTCGAGATATGACTAAAGTAATTAAAGGAAAGACACGCAAAGTGACAGATTCAAACGCTCATGATTCTTTGTTAATTTTTAGTTTCATATATTCTTTATTACTTTTCCACGGCAAAATTTCCCTTCCTTCATCTTCCTCGGTATTTTACTGAGTATGAGTCCCAGTCTTGACGCGCAATGTATGCCAGAAGTAAAAACAATTCACAGAATCCAGGACTCTTTTTTTTTGGAGAAATTTTTTTAATCGGATAATATTTAACTCAGAGAAGTTTTTCGCTTTAAAGTTCTGTCCTATGTTAAGTGTGATCGACTTCACAGAATTTTTCGCATTATTGTGTATATGCTCCCACGTGGTTTACTTACATGGTTTACATAAAAACGGTGATAGTAAGCATGATAATACGAAAGCACTATAGCATGTCATAATTTCACCAGGCGCAGAGTAAGATTTGTATTGGACTAGTCTGAATGCATCTTTAACTTAAGGTCTATTAAGTTTATTCTGTGACTCTTGTGGAGTGTTTGCTCTTATTTGCTTTCGTTTTTATTTTTTATTTCATTTTTTAGGTTTTCCATTTTCTTTTATTTACTTTAATTTTTTTTGCGTATATTAGTTTAATGTGATCCATTTTTTTTTTTGAGCATTTTGTACATTGATTGCATTTGCATAAACAACTACACTAATATTAATGAAATGTCACCTAATTTGGTTTATTTAACGTTGAAATCTGCATTTACTATTTCAGTTTCAATAGGTTTGAATTTCGATTTTTTTTTTCTAAGATCTAGATCGTCAAATATCAAAACATAAAGCGCATATATACCTAGAAATAAATACACCAATAAATATACAAGACACTTCTACAATTAACATCTAAAAATGTTTGAGAAAGTTACTGATTTTTTCAATAAGACCGCTATAAAGGGCTTCTTTTTTACTCATGCGAACATGATTCTTGCTATTCTTAATGGCTTTGCGATACTACTGCTTATCGTGGGATGGGGTGTATCTTCATCAAAAGAAAAAAATATTCCTGCTCGCACCACGGTATGGGTGCTTGGATTTATTCTACTATCCGCCACTATCCTGATATCCATAGGTGTGCAAAAGATGGAGCCAAATCTTCTTCTTTACTATGGGCATCAAGTTCTCTCCATCCTCACGCTTGCTATGATGGCAATCGCAATGGGGACTAATAACGTCGTAGTGAACATGTGCGCTCAGGATAAAAAAGGTGATGTTAAGGTTAGTTGTGGTGCGCATTTGACGGAGCTTTTTGCAGAAATCTTGGTGTGCATCATTATGGTAATTTATTATCTTGGAACTCAACAGCGTATCGTGATTTTTATCGACAAAGGGATATTGGATGGTATTCGGGGACGCTCTCACAGCAGGATGGAGTACTTGATGTAAGCGGCGTTTGTGTGTAACATATTGAAAAAAAAAGGGATCATAAAAATCAGATGAAATGCTTAGGATTTAAACTTTTTTATTATTGTTTCCATGCATCAATGGCACCAACTTGTCTCAAGATAACATTACAATACAAAGTACTGCATACTTTCGCTGTAATTGTATCTATACTTCTCACAGGATAACTGATTTAAAATAGTACCTCATGGCTTTGCATCAAGGACCTTCTTGTTCGTCGACTCTTATATGGTGAAGTAAGGATTTGAATTCGTTTTTAACAACATTGTTATTTCTGATGCTTCAAAATTTGTATTTCTTCCATTTTTCTACATGGCAATAAACGTTTTTCAATATATCTATTTTTTTTGCGTATTTGGTTCGGTTGAACAAAGCATCGGTTTCAGTACTTTGGTGGTGGGGGTAGGATTCGGGCTCTCATATGACTGACATGGTCATTATGATGTATATGTGAATTGTATTATTTGAATTGTCTGCGATGGTAATTTACGATAATCTGTGTCGTCCCCGACTTGCAGTATTCTTGATCTACATATTTTTCATAAATCGACATGGTAGCTAGCTCTATCACAGTTAGATGCGTAAAATAAGTATTTTAACTATTATTTTTTTTGCTGTTTTTAGTCTATATCCTTGCTTTATATTTCAGTAAATATGGTATACAGGATATAGCTAAAAAAAAAATTCATATGATTCGAAAGGGAATAAAGAAAGCATAATAGAGTATATACATGGTATTTATATATGTATGTGTATACTTGCATCGTTTAAGTATTTTATACATAAGAATATCCTGTGCTGCCTGAGCTCGTCTTTGCTTTATAGGGCAACTATTTAATATTTTTATTTATCCTTTCGTATTTCCTTCTGAGTTTGAATTGCAGTTGCCAGAAAAAGAACAATTTAGAGGAGTAGTTTTGGAGAGCCCTCCTTCTCCCCCCCTTTACGTATGCACAAACATACACACTGCTTCATGTTTTCTCATGTTTTAACTCCAGACCGAACAGCACAGGATTCTCTGTTGGATTCACTGTCTTAATATTGCTTTTCTGTTGATAGCAGATGCGTTTGATCTTAATGACTCTGGCGCAAAGTGTTCAGTGTACTATCCTTCTCTCTTATCTAACGAGATCAAAAGAATCATACGACTTAAGCCGTTGGATTCAATAGATATTATTCTATTGATATGAGAAAAGTTTCTAACGCTGAATAAATCGATTATACTGAATTTATTATAGATATAGGTGACGTTTGGTTTGTGGGAAAGAGTGTGTTTCTGTACTGTTAAAAGCCAAGCACAATGTCTGAGATGGCTGATAATACTGAAGTGATAACCGGTGCTCAAAGCGCTAAAGGGATGCCATTCCACTATTGATAATTACCAGCGAAAAGTGTAATAATGGATACTATTTGCATATATTTATATTGACTTTTTCCAGAAATGTGTTTTTAAATATCCACAATACAGGGTTATAGATCTTCATGGCACCAGGACTAGCCTAGGTCTTTATCCCTTCATATTTATTAGCAAAAAAAATTAAACACTTTCATACAGATATCTGACAAGGACCCACAACTCATTGAGCTTCCTCAGTGAAGCGATTGATGCGTGTACTTTTTCTGTAACTGCATGTAAGTCATCTCAGTGGTGGGTAAAGTATACCTATTTCATTTCTTCCATACTCTTTGCTGTTGATGTGCATGTCTCTCTGAAATGTCTCCTTCTGAAATCCTTTTTTTTTTAGTAGGTCACGCTAAGGTAGTTTTCATTTTATTTTAATTGCTTGGGGTTTAAATACGAACTTTTGCTTACCTCATATATTTTTGGTTTAGTTGTTGTTATTTTTTCCCCAAATTTTTTTAGCTGCTTTGAAAGCAATTGTGTTCAGAGTTTGTTTTTTTGGTGCATTTTTCGTTATTAATAAACCATTTTGTAGTAATTTTTGATAAATATAAAGCTGTATTTTTTCATATTTATCTTACCCTTGTTTCCCCAAGACACGTTTTATATTGTGTCACCAACCTCCTAGCTTGCTGGTTTAATCTAAATTCCTAACACTCCAAGGAGGACCACCACAAGTTTATCGAGTGCGTTGAAGGCCATCAGGTGATTGCCTTTTTCTCCGTTCCACCTTCCACCTTTCAACACTTTTCTCTTTCATTAG